AAAGTATTAATTAATTGATATTTATTTGATTTAATAATTACTAATTAGTTTATATGTAATTAATGATCTTGACCTCCACTTCGATCTAGCACTAGAACATTTGAAAAATTCAGAGGTTGTTCTGTTAGAGTGTAATTTGACTGTAATTTTTGAGTTGAATTTAAGTTATAACTTGAGTTGAAGTTGTAATTCAAATAAAATTGAGTAAAGTTGAATAAAATTAAAACTTAAAAGAACGTAAACTTAAATAAAATTTAAGTTATAACTTGAGTTGAAGTTGTAATTCAAATAAAGTTGAGTAAAGTTGAATAAAATTAAAACTTAAAAGAACGTAAACTTAAATAAAGTTCTAACTTAAGTTTAAACTTTTTCTGAGTTTTGTTGCAAAAAAAATAACCCACAGATTTTAGACTTTTTTGCTTGAGTAAATATTACAACATGCAATGGCGCTATTATATATGACCATGCTTCATCAAATTATTGCTTCAGGAGTACAACTGGATTAATTCTGGGTGTGACAAACCATTTTGATAGAACAAATGGGAAGTGGGCAGTCATCTCATTTGACTGCCCAACTATCATCCAATACAATTAGACGTGGCTTGAATTTTTAATAGTACTAATTTTTCTCGAAGTAAGTAGATTTTTTTTTTTTCCAATTAGTATGTACGTACGTGTACGTAGATTAAGGTGACATTTATTTTAAATTTAAGATCATTATTTTTAATTATGTTATAGTATTTTTTTCTCATAATAAATTTAAATTCTAAAAATTAGAATTATAAATGATAATTTTAAATTTATGATGTTACTTTAATCGATAGGAACCACCCACGTACTCTTTTATATATAGATAAAAATTTATAAAAGGATATATGTACAGGGTGTAAACAACTTCATATCATTAAAAAAAAAAAAAAAGAAATTGAGCCTGCCAGCTTTTAAATTCGCAAAACTACAAAAAACTTCCTGATCACTTGTCCATTATATATTCACATCATATTTATAAAGATGGCATGCTAGTGATCATCACGTGGTCTTGAATGGCGTCAAATATATATGAACTTACGGGATACTTACAATTATTCGCATTGAAGATCGATAAATATATAAATAGTAGGATTAATTTTTAAAATACCTTGAACTATAGACTTTGTGTTAAGTTGTCCCCTAATTTTTAAAATGTAGCATTCTCACCCTTTTATTTATATAAAAGTGACAAAAACAATCATTCTCTTAACATCCGTCTATAAAAATAACTGAATGTCTTGCATAATAATAAAAATAAAAAAATAAAAAAACTCAGAATCTGCACAAAGGACTTGGATTTTTTTAAGTTCAATAAATTCAAATTTCAAAGGTCATTCTGTTTATTGGTTGATCAAACGTGCAAAGCAGCAAAGGCTCCATCAAGAAATGACCAACTCAGATCTCTGTTTGAAACAAACGACGCTGTTGTAGGATAAAATTTTAAACCCTAAATGATGGCATTAAATAATCGAGAGCAGCTCAGTCTTGGCCGTTGGCCGTCACGTCGGACGACTACCCTCTTAGGGGTAAACCGCAAGTTAAGGGTGAGATATTCAAAAGAGGTTGACCGCACCAACAGTTGTAGACAAAGATAGTTCTGAGAGCTCTTATGATGTCGAACATACGCAAGTCGAGAGATGCGACATTTGTTTCGGAATTTGCTATTTGTAATTCAAATATATGAAATTTAAGCAATAAAATCGTTCCGATTGATTGTAAGCTCAATCTTTCAGGAAATCATCCCAAAAGATGAGAAAATTATCCCATAATTAAATAGGGAAGACAGTTGGGACAATGGTCAACAATATAAATAAGTGATTGTAGGTTGAAAAAGGGAGAGGTCTCATTGAGAGCAGTAGAGTGTAATTCTTCTAAAAGGTTAATGGATTCTCTCTTCTCCATAGTGAACGCAACTCTTAAATTAAAAGTGATCCATTATAATTCTCGTGTGTTTTTATTGTTTCAATTGTCTTTGATCGCATTTAAGATTATTAAATTCGCGCAAACCGTTTCAAAATTTATTATATTTCTGTTGACGAATTTTCACCATCAACAATGACCATAGAGAAGGAAAAATGGCAGCGAAAATGGGTGGCGGAGCAAGCACCTCCACCCTCCATCGATTCTCCAAAGCTCTCCTATGTCAAGAAGGACCTCGCCCAAATCCAATTCCTTTGTGCCCGAATGAATCGCTTTTGGTACTCCACTGAAATCGAGATCAATCGAAGACAATCATCAAAAACTTTTTTTTTTATTTCCTCTCCAAATCGTCAGTTTTTCCATCAAATTTATAGACAGAAGATGACATAAGGACTGTTTTTACAACTTTTATATAGACGAGGGAGTGAGAATGCTCCATTTTAAAATTTAAGCGGCAACTTGACACAAGGTTCATAATTCATGGAGTATTTTCAAACATAATCCTAAATAGTAAATAGGAGTCTAGTTATATTATATACTAGTAGCTTACACAGCAATATATATAATATATTTACTCGCCCTGCTCTATGTGAATGCTCTTCCATGGCTCTCACCATGAAACTTCTCTACCATTTCCTCTCTTTACCTCTCCTTTTTCTTTTTTCTTTTTTTTCCCCATGAGAGTCCATTCCTATATTCTAACGTGCAGCTTCTAAAAGCAAAGCCATTTGTAAGGATGACCCCTTTAAAGTTATGTTTTGGTTCAATTGATTCATTGATCATAGAAACAAAGGCCAATTGGGAATAATATTGAAGTCTGAAAAGTTGATGTTTTGGTCCATATGTAGCTGATTTCTGGCAAATTTGGATTGATATTTCGTATATATAAAGTTGGAGAGTTTCATCTTAATCGTATTGAATGTGCTAACATTCCGGATATATAAAATTAAAAGTGAACCACCCAACATTGTTTTTTGACCACAAATCCCGACTACGGACTAGGCCACCCGTGGTATACATGTTAGAATATATGCATATATATGAATATGATTGTTTTAACGGTAAAATATTAATGTGATGATTACAATAAATTAAATAATTAATTAAAAAATCTATAACAATTAATAAAATTAAATTCTTATTAAATTAAGTCATTAAATTTCTATATTTAATAGATAACTATAATAAGAATGTAACCATAAGCTCTTCCATATAAATATATATATATATATATATGTGCAGTTATGTATAGATTATAACATTTTGTTAATATTTATATTTCATCATTGGCCTCGAATTACAACAGTCAAGACCATCCTCGATTGGAGTGGGGAGATGGGGTGCGTGGCTTTGAATCTACTCTTTGGAATTTGGGTGCCCTGTCCTCCTCACTTTAAAAAGAAAATTTAGAGTGTGACATTTTAATTAAATTAGATTAGATTTGTTGTTCTTCTTTAAAAATAAAGTGCAGCATTTCGTCCTTTGGACTTGCAAAATTATATATATGTATATATATATATATATATTATAATATATATTTTTTCCGATTTTGAAAGTACCGAAGCATGTCAACTTTCTTCCTTGGGGAAAAAAGTTGCAAACATCCGTAATTTACACTATATGAAAAATTTATTTCAAGTAATACATACACGTGTTAAAATCCTATACAACTGAAATTACTATTTTGTCCATCTACCCTACAAAAAGTTTATCTTTCTCTCTCTCTTTTTTTTTGCAAGTTATTTGCCCTGATAAATCATAAATATTGTTTCTAATGACGTTATATAGTCATAATTCCTAAAAATAGAGGCAAACATTAATATCTCCAGTTGAATACCAGGCAAAGAATAGCCAAACTCCTTTACATTATCTTTTTCTCCTCGTATACAAGAAACTACTATTAATATGGTCTTTTAAATGTAAGATAAATTTAGAAGTATCATAATATTTAATTTTTTAGAGCTTTTTATAATAGATCATTCTATTAATAGTGCATATTTTTAAAAGTTAAATTTAGTGATCAAAATCTAATTAAAAAATTATTTGAAACATACCGAACCTAATACAAATTTGACAATTAAAAAAGAGCCTAACTAATAGAATATATTTTTTTCATACCCTATTGTAAAATTCTTATAATTTTTTAATCTAAATTTAATGGTATGCGGGATAATTAATGTCGTTGGCATCCATACATGATACATTTTGCGTTTGGTTGGTGAATTCGTATCATTATTCAAATCATGATCGGTTATTTATTATAATATTTTTTCTTATAAAAATCACACATAAATTGAGAATGATTCTAAATTTATAAACTAAACGTTCGTTAATTGTTTATCACGTTCCAAAGTAGAACAAAAACCTCTACAGTTCCACTAGAAGTGCTATGTGAATCATAGTCGCATCAGTTGTCAACAATCAAAAACCTCTATGGCAAACCATCGAACACAGCGTAATCCGTATCCACTTGTGCGTTAATATGATGTAAACTCATATTGATAGCCTCGCAATTACTCAAAGCCTTTCGAGGAGGGAAAATTCTTTTATATAAATAAAGAAAATGGATATAATTTGGGAAAAAAGAAATTGTTTCTAAAACTTTCTAGTATAAATTTTCTCTCTCATTTCTGTTTTCTTTCCCTGAGAAAAGGGTCACGGAAAAAAGAAAAGAATTTAAAATGAACACAATCATTCTGATAATGATTCATGAAGTTCTTGAATTTTTAAGTTAACCATCTCATAATTAACAAATCACACGTTAACTGAAATTAGTGGCGCAAGAAAAATTATAGAAAAAGATTAAACGACTGATTTTGCAACTTAATTCTAATATAATATAGACCAGCAACAATAATATATGCTAATTAACAATACAACTCATAGGTTAATACTCATTGACAAAAGTTTACTCGATCATCTATTCGGAACCCAATTTGAACTACTTAATTAGTTTTCAAATTGTACAACCCAGCTATTAGCTTATTCATCATTTCATCAACCACAAAAAAAAAAAAAAAAAAAAAAAAAAAAAAAAAAAAAACAAAAAAAACACTGAAATGAACTTTTGATGTCGTTACAAATGATCTTCATACCTTCAACGTTGTCTGATCACAATGAAGAAAGAACTGTCTTGCGAAAGCCTTAGATCTAACTCTTCTTTCTGATCATCTCAACTCATTTTTTATTGACTGAAGAAGAACCTACACGTATTGACACAAGAGGGTTTTTTAACCGCTCATCACCATCATGGTGATCTTCCATGAAATCTTCACGTTGGAAAGAGGGCTCCCACACTGCAAATTGCTTCTCTTCCTTTTGGATTATCTGATGATCATCATGATCTGAGCCCTTCATCAAACGTTTGCGAGCCTCGCGAATACTTTTGATGAGAGTATAGAATTTCTCGATCTTTTCTTCTTCTTCTTCTTCTTCTTCTTCTTCTTCTTCTTCTTCTTCTTCTTCTTCTTCTTCGTAAACTTGGCATATCTTCCTCTTCTTGCTTACTCTCTCCATATCTAAAATGTTTTTGTAGAATTAATGCTGAGATTTTTTTTTTTTAAGTGTATAGTTCTTCCCAATATATAAAGACTAGAACATGACTTATAAAGACCTTACTTTCTTGGTTGCTTCTTTGACTCTGAACTGTGGAATGGTCACCGTCATGGTGTTTAATCATTATGTACTGCTGTTTTTTTTTTAAAACTTGTTTACACTGATATTTTAAAGATATTTTAATTATATCAGAAAAAAAACTCGATGTAATATTTTTAAAAAATTTTAATTATAAAAATTTAAAATTTAAAATTTAAATCGGTAAAATAAATGATGCATTTATTTATTTTTTTAAATAATAAAAATCTTTCTATGTTTTGGATTAATTTTTTTTTTTTAAATATAATTACTTAAATGCCACCTTTGTTTTATCTCAAATGGCCATATGCTCGTTACCCGACAAAACACATATATGTATGAATATATGTGATCAATAAACTAATTGCACATTTTTCTTAAAAATAAAGAAATTAAAATGGTTTTTTACTGTAAGATATTCTTATTGACACTCATTTGTGATTTATGAAAGGCGACAAAATATTAATGATAAGATATCTTTTGATCCTCTATCAGAAACTCTTTTGTTTTTTTAGTTGCTGGAAGGGCATCCCCTCGAGAGAGAATCAATGTCCATTTGATTTGATAAATTTTACATTATGATATTGGGTTTGCGTGGGACGGCATCATCGGAGATTTGGACACTTGCTGCGTCATTGCATCTATAAGAGTGACGCAATTACTATTATACTTATAACAATATTATTGTTACGGAATATGGCATTTATTTTTATTGGTTCTTTTTTTAAAGTGAAAAGATAGCATCTGATTATCATTGTCTTTTCCCCCTTTCTCAAAAAATGTTTGAGTTTACAGTGATAAGTTTACCTACAATGTGAGGCACGAGCCTACCAACTATATATAAAAGTTGTTCTATTTAATTATTTTTTATTTCAAGCTTGTAATAAGTATGATTATATTCCACGAAAACTAAAGGGAAATATATGTACTGAACCTATAATAGTCCTGTACACAAGACATTACCATGTGCAATATGTAATCATATATCCGACAAAGTTGGGCATATATATATATATATATATATATATAATTGAGCGCCATCAATTGTATTCGATCGTCAGCTAGCTAGCTAGCTAGTAGCCAACTTTACATTAATATGTAATTACTTATATAAGCTGAAAAGCTAATCACGAAACAACCGAGTATAATTAATCTAGGAATTTCAGTTATACACACACAAACACATATATCAAAAGTACCAGACCATGAACAAGAAGAAAAACCACAACCAAAACGGTCCAAACCAATTAAAAAACCATATAAATCATAACTAAAAACTAGATCAATGACCACATCATGAATGTGAATAATGTGTGTTTTTTATTTATTTAAAAAAAGTGATCGGATTATGCAATCTTTGTTTGGTAGAAATTAATCATATTATGCAATAATCATAACAGAGGCATTAGATATAGGTTTTAATATATATTTATATATATATGTGATATCATCTTGGAGATGAGCTGTTTGGCATTTCTTGGGCCTGGGCCGTCCCAAAAATGTCAGTGTACGCCGTTGCCCCGAAAAGAAAAGGAAATGAGCTGGTTAGTCTTTAACTCTTTTCTGGAAATTAATGAGAGAAAAGGAAAGTGCAGTTAGTTGTATATTTCTTTTTCTTTTAACTATTAACTATTGTCCTTTATTCAAGCAAAAAAAAAAAAAAAAAAAAAAACAAAACTATTGTCCTTTATCTATTTTTTAAAAATGTTTTTGCTGACCTCTTACACGTTGTCGTGGTCTATACTTTCAGTCGTTTGAATTTATTGTCGTTTTCACTATTTACATCATTTTAATAAAAATGTCGTGTTTTCCACTTTATTGTCGTTTTATTTGTTTTTACTATTTTTTCAATTCTCATTGTTGTCGTTTTCCTTAAAGTTTGTTGTGTTTTCATTTGACTGTCGTTTTGATAGTTTTCTTGTTTTATGTTTCTTGCAGCATATTTATCGTTTTTTTACTATCAATGTCGTTTTATGTTTCCTGTCGTTTTTGCTACATTATCGTGTGATTTCCGGCTCCTTTTCTTTTAACTTTTCTATTGCTTGCTTTCTACCTTATTTTATATCGTGTTCATATTGCTGTCGTTCGTTTCTAGTTTTTGTCCTTTGATTTATTTTTTCTAAGTATATTTACAGTGTCGTTTTCTTATTATATGTCATTTTCATATTAACGTCTTCTATTTTTTTTTTTTTTTTGACAACTTGTTATTGTCTTTTTCAAACGTAACAAATTTCTCATTTTAAATGCATATAGCACAATACTCCCTTTAGTACTCACTCGGAACGTACGTAAATTCCGGCCACGTTCTGTTTGGCATACGAGAAAACTGCGAAATGTAATTTTAGATAGTTTTTTTTTTTTTTTTTGTTCTCACTTTGATGCGACCCCATTACTAGATTTCACAGGGAAAGAAGCGTTACGAAATACTATTGATCAGCCTCTCAACAAACTCAAGATTAGATCTATCAGTTCTACGTAAATGCTATTGAACTCATGATTTATCTGGATCCTCTTGCAATTAACCACTAATGAGTCGTGTTAATAATTTGCTAGATGTGTGCAAAAATCTCTTTTGCATGTGCCTCACATTTCTTTTCTTCCGTCCATTGCGAGGCACCATGAAATGAATCTACAACTACAAGAAAATTATCATTCCGCTACCCAAAAAAAAAAAAAAATAATAGCAACTTTCCGCAATCAAAATTTGGTCGCCGCTAGATATGATTCGAAGAAAAGGTTTAGCAACCAATTTTGGTAGCTAATAGATATGCATTAATTTAATAGACATGCTTTAATTGTGACCAAAACAAAACTTGATCATTGATATCATAGCGACTATATACATATATTTAGTAAAATAATACTTATATGTGCGTATAAGATAATGTTCGTAGTAGTGGGTAGAGGTGTGGTGTTAGTGGGGTAGATAATAGATTCCTTTCTCTTTATTTGTTTTTTGGTAAACTTTAGGCAGCCTTCTATGACCATATATATATATATATATATATATATATATTATGTGACAATATTAGCAGACGATGTTTATGGCAGTTAGATCTTCTGGTGCTTTTAGCACTTTTCCGAAGCTGCAAAAGACAAAAGCACTACTATTAAGTCTTCCTGGGCTCCTGCCCCATACAATCGAGCACTCCAAAATTATAACATTTAACACCCAATTTCTGAAACCCTTGACATCAATAATTTTTCATCAGATTGTTTGCTTTTCCAGAGATGGGATAGTTTTTGAGGATGCTTGGCCCTGGTCTCTCAGATTCCGATATGGAGAGTCCCATGTAAGATAAACTTTCCATTATAGTACGAAGAAAAGATAGTAAAAGAAGCAATATTGCATCACGGTTTTTGGAGAGCTTTGAAAGTACCTCTCGCTGGATAGAGATTGGATTCCTAGAGAAACTTCATGCGTAGATAATTACAAAATATATGGAAAATACTTTCTTTTTCTCAAAATAAAAAGGGAAACAAGTATTTAGTGTACTCACGTCTCCATCCAACGATTATTTAGTAATCTATTGGGATCACAAGTAGAGCGGGAAAAAGTCTGACCATAAATACTTTCATCAACTAACATATAAAGTGTTCAAAATCACATCAGACTAAGTCATATTAGACAGGCCAAAAATAGACACAATTCCCACCTCACTACATATAAGGAGAATTGATCCGTAGATACTATATTAGAGAAAATAAGTTTATCTTTTACCGTTATGCCACCACTATCAGTTACCAGTGAAAATAAATGTGTATTTAAGATCTCTCAGTGACCGTAAATTTTTGTATTTTAATTTAGAATTGGATCTGCAACATTTAAAAAAAGAAAAATAAATAAATAAATAACAAAGCCATAGCTGATTAACTATAAATGTATGTTAATAATGATGATGATGATGATTGTGATGACGATGATGAGGAGGCGGAATTAGGTCAAAGATTAAAAAAATAATTCCACATTTTGTTATTCAACATCCTTAGTTCGTTATTTTTGTTGACTGTAATGTACTAATCCCTCTCAACTTCATTACATAAGGATAACATTTAACCGCCTATTACTATAAGCATCACCAAAAATTGTAAAAGTTTTAAACTAATGGATAAAGCAAATAAAATGCGCTTTCAAACTCTTGTGTATATATATATATATATGTGCGTGTGTGTGTGTGTGCGCGTGTACTAACTAAAAAAAAATAAATCTATGATTTATGTCAATTGATATGAAGAGTACTAATTGGCAAGGACTTAGCAAATATTGTCAAGACGACTATAAGATTGAGAGTCATTAATGAGTCGTATAGAGAAAAAGGTATATTTGTTGGGTGGGTGGAGAGAATACTGAGTGGATTAAAGCCCCGTGCACCGACTGGCAACTTTTTCAGGGCACTTAAGTCTACCCTCTCTACCCTTCTCATATCATATATATCATAATACTCCCAATCATGATAAACCCTCCCAATCCCTACGCGTGCAAAACAAAGTATGCAAAAGAGGGCTTTTTTTTTTTCACTTCAAATACCAAAGTTAGTGGCGCATCCGACAATATATACCTGTTTATATTCTTCTCTTACATTACTACCATATATTATATTATATTCTATTTTTATATAGTGGTTCTTTATTCAGTTGGTTGTAATAGGATAAGAAATGAGAAAAGCTGTTAATGGTTTAGTTAGCTATATGGCATATTCTGTTTGATTGTATTTTAAGATATAAATAGGCAAATAGAGTATTTTATTGGACAGCATTTTTCATAACCGAAAATAGGAGAGAGAAAATAAGAGAGATTTATGAGAAAGGGGATTTTTCTCTGTAATTCAATTCTTCTCTTTTCTGGTGAATAAAAGCAACTTGTTCTTCTGTGGAAATTCCATGGTGTGTTAATGTCCTGGTATAAAAGATTTACAAAGAGATGAGGCAAGATTATTAACATATATTATATTATATTATATCATATTATATACATTACGTTATATGTGTATATATCTACATGTCAGTCTCATTTTCTGTATTTATACTCTGGATACTTTCTTGTATCCTAGCTAGCTACTTTTGCACCAATTTTGAAAGTTTGGAATATTCTACTTTTTCATTCGTTTTATAAAGTAAAAGGGCCTCTTAATAATAAATAACTTTCTCATGATTCCGCCGCATCCATATATATCCTTGTTTCATCAACTTGTCATTTGATGACAAAATGTTATATGATCTAGGTACTTGATGTCGCCATTGTATATTTTATTTGTTTACTTTTCAATTTTTTTTTCTTTTTTTTTTTAGTAAGAAAGATAAGCAATGAATAGATTGAAGAGACCAATGATATTTGCTAGAAATTTCCCATCGCATGTTTAGAACAAATTTTACAAGGCAAAGTAGAAATATTAGCAGAGTCGAAATAATTGTAAGAGTGCATTGGTATTTCTGCAAAAAAATTTCACACAATTATGTCAAATACATTACTTGCAAAGTACTCCTAAAACCTCTATAAAAGCAATACCAAATTGGTCCTTAGGTGGAATAGCATATAATATACTTCTATTACATAGATATGCAAGAGCAAAAACCAAGCATATCTTTTAAGTTACTCCAAATGACACTCCATATATGGGGGATGAGCAAATATAAGAACCCAACTCCTACATATATATCCTGACCATAGAATCAGATTTATTATTATCATGATTCCCTTTCAAATTATATACATATATTTATATATAATATTGGTTTAGTACATATTAAACTAGCCATGCATGAAAGTAAATAAATCATGAGCAATAACCCTTGTCACTATTGTCCAATTTGGAGTTAGGAACACCCTCCAACAAGCAGGAAACTGGTGGAATAGTGAGTGTCTGCAATTCTCCATAAGCATTCCAACAAAAAGGGTCCAAAACTATGTCCCCAGTAGCCGGAAGAAGCTCAACCTCGGAGAGTGTCAAGTTGGCGCATGGCACAGAATCACTGCACCCAAAATGCATTGGTGGACTCCGGACATCATATGTGCCCTTTATGTTGTCGTACAATATGTCTGATACGAATACTGCCGAGGTCTGGTTGGCACAATTCTTTGGCAGGCAATAGAATTGGTCTATTATAATTGGGTTCCTCACATTGTCCATGTGAATGTTACTGAATGTCACTCCAGATACTGCTCCAGATCCACCTTGCCATGTCTTGATCCTGACTCCGTTGTTCGACGCTTTTATCACCGAGTCTTTGACCTAGTAACACAAAGTCGGATAATTTTTTTGTTTTTCAGTGGGGACACAATACGAAAAATAGAAAAGATTTTTTTTTTGGTCAAATAATTTTCGTACCGTGATATTCGTCACACATGCCCATGAGTTGTGATTGCCTAGACTCCCAATGCTGAGGTGGAAAATGTAAAGAATTTTATAAGCTGAAAGAAAATACATAAATCTTGATCTTACGGGTAAAAAGTACTGATTAGAGTAATACCTTATTCCATGACCGGGTCCACAAGTGACGTTCCTTATGTTTACATCATGACAGCCTGATCCAATTGATACACAGTCGTCACCTTTAGAGAAGATCATTAAATAATTAGTATTTTTTGAGAAGCTTTCTGATCGAGATTAATTAACGGATAACTGAAATTAATTAGGTGAGGTTTTAGACCATTAGAAATGACTGAATTGTAGATTTCAACACCAATTGTGTTCTCTATGTGAATCCCATCAGTATTCGGACTCAGTGCAGGGGCTGTTATAGAGATAGATTCTATATGAACATTCTGGCAGCTGTCGAATCGGAAATGGAACTGCGGGCTGTTCTTGATCCTAAGTCCTTGTACTGTCAAGTTGGAGCTCATGAAAAACCTGATTGCCTGCATCACAATTCAAGTTCTCAGTTCTCACTTAGCAAAAACTTTAAACTATATATAGATGTTGGCAAGACATTTATTTAACTTACAATGGGGCTATCACATGGTCCAGTTCCATTCTTTCCCTGTGACACGTTTGATGAAATATTTCAAAATTTTAGTAATGACAAATGAACAATGATACACATAATGAAAAAATTTATTTATGCAAGTTCTATAAAATTAATATTAACTATTTCGTGCGGAATTGAGAAGAAATTACAATTGAGTGTCATGAAACTGGTTTTTTTTTTTTTCGATTTTATTTAGGAATAAGCAGAGACATACCTTGTGGGGTTTGCAGGGGAGATCCCACCATTTCTGACCTCTTCCATCAATTAGGCCACCTCCTTGCAATGCCATTTCATTGATTCTATAGAAGACAAGCCATTGGCGTCTACTGCTGTTATTTGGCCACGAATCAGGTCCGTCCGGAGGCATTACAGTTCCATCAACCTTAAGTCACCATTTTGTACCAAAACTGGTTAGTCTTATTCTTTTCTAAGAAATTGGCTCAAAGAAATAAAAACCAAAATGCCAATACCTGAAACACAAGGCTTGATTTGCAAGGACCAGTGAAAATGGTGGACTGAATCATGAAGGAGAATCCCTTGGGAACAAGGATAAGTGAGGAAGCAGAGTCACTCTGGCAGGCGGTGTCCCATGCCATCTTGAATGCATCCGTGTCATCCGTCACCCCATCTCCAGCCGCGCCAAATTTTCTCACGTCGAAAACTCCACTAGAATTCGTAATTGGACTGTCATCATTGTAAGGTGGCTCAGCAGGCTCAGGAACAGGCATGGGTGTCGGGGGCTCAGGTGCCACGGGCTCGGGTGTTGGTGAAGTTGAAGGAGGTTGTGATATATGTGATCCTTTGTGATGGTGAAAGTGCTTGTGTTTCAAATGGTGCTTCCTAGCTTGTGTCAAGTGGACTAAGCAAAGGAGGGAAATGCATAACAACAGCACAACCAAATTAGACAAACGAAAATCCTTCATGTTTAGTTAATACTTAAGCTCACTTGAATTTCAAGAATTGGGACCAAAATCTGAAAAGTCGTGCTGCCAATAGGAAATGTTGCGAAAACCAAGCTAACCAAGCTAACTCAAAGGATAGTGGTAATTGCTGCAAGTGAGTGAGTGACCACAGTGTGAGAGACTCAGAGTGAATAGAGTAAGTTAAACTAAGCAAGAGAACAAGTTGCCAAAGTAGTTTATTAAGGTTTTTAAACTAGGGAATGCATATATGAAACATATACACCACAAAGGTAGAATATATGTATATATATAATAGGGATAGTTAGTGGAAGCTGCTTCAAACTTTTTACCTGCACCTTACGTTTGTTTTTTAACATATTTTGGGGGCGGGAACCGACCAATTCCATATAGGCATTTGGCTTTGGCTTTTTTTATTATTATTATTATTTATTTATTTTGGAGTTTGTGGAGTGTGCATATGACAGGTTCAGAGAGAGAGAGAGAGAGAGAGAGAGAGAAAGAGAAAAAAAAAAAAAAAAAAAAAAGGTAAACGGAATAACAGAAAAGATGCGATGGGGAAGGCAGTCGATAATAAGCTACCCATGTTCTTCCCATAACTGTCACTTTCTCTGGTTCCGGAATATACATGTATATAATATTATGGCTATTTCAAGTTTCAACGGTGATATGCACAACACTAGCACTAGTTTCCCAATTTTTTTAATCAATAAGTTCTTTTTTCTTTCCATGCGTATGTTGATTTGGAGCTTGGAGTATGGACAACTTTCATTTCAAACAAGGAATTTTTGTAGATATGTGATGACACTATAATCACAGGCCAAGTCCCAATGAAGATTCTAGAAGTAGTTAAATTAAGCATAACGATATTCAGATTTAATGGGGCTGCAAAGGGAACACTATTAAATACAACTCAATGCACTAGACTATGACTGCCACTGGTATTTATTCTCAATACACACAATACAAGAAAACCTAATTATAGTCAAAGAAGTAAGTATCAATAATTTTATCATTATTTCTTCAACATTATTGTAAATGTAGGTTTTGGATGGAAGCTATGTCCATGTGGAATTTTGGCATAATATCGACACAATTTATACATGGTTTAGTTTTTATCCATGTTGGCATCCGTCTCGATATTGTTCAATAAAAAAATTTCAATATTTTTGTTGGTGTCGATATTTTTATTCTTAATTATGTTGCATCATTAAAAAATAAATAAATCTTTTTTGAGTTATTCAGAAGAAGAAATGATCAAGTAACAAACAATGTACTTTACCAATCTTTTGTTCGGAAAAAATTAGCTTTCAGATTAGATGACATTCAAGTAAAAAAAAGAAGAGAAAAGAAAAAAGTATCACCCGCGCATAAATTGTTAATTTATTAGAGAGTACAATATTGGTCCTTGCGGATATCAAGTGGACAGTTGAATGGCCTTTAAGATGTAGACTAATTTGTATAATTAAGGGAAGTTAAAATGGAAAGTGGATTATTAGTTTAGTAAACGTGAGAAGCAAACAGCCGCTGTTCCTATTGTGGGTGATTTTCCAAATTGGATTGGAGCAATAGGAGCTTCATTTGTGGTGGATTTGTGGCCCTGCTCGATCGACTGTAACATTAAAAAATTTGAACCATGAAATACTCAACTTTTATCTCAAAACCGACCAATTCGATTGCACGAGAGTTTCGTCATCACGTTTGAATTTTGATTTTGTAACTAAAAGAATAAGTTATTTATTACCATTAATAAAACTTTCACATAGTAATATCGTATTTGTTGTTATAGTGTCGAAATTATCGATTGTATATTAGAGCATCATTATATTGTTTGTGTTTTAGTTTTTCAACAAGAAAAATAATATTTAATTATGGCGTACATATCAGTGCATCAAAATTGCCACATAACAACGAGAGATTTAATAACTTTATTTTTATTATTAAATGAGTTTATGTTACTCATTATGTCTGTTGTGATGCATCATCGATAACGATGAGTATAACAATGTACATTTTAAATATAAATATATTACTGCGGATGTGGGTGGCATGGCTTAGCCGAAAAGGTTTTCAGTGATCTTTTTAATGTTTGGTTGGGCAGGCAGTCCACCACTACTTGTTCCACTTAGGAACTTTCTTCGGCCGACCATATTGATCCTTAATGTTGCTTGCATTGCATTGCATGAACTGCGCTTCTTTTCTGGGTTTCTTGGTTTCTACTTCAATTATGACTAGGTCCACTTGGGATCCCTCCTTTTTGGCTCAAATGGCTTGGTGGATTTCTATCTATAATTTGGAACTTAGATATGCCTTGAGTTCTAAGTTTCATCTTAATTGCTGGCGAATATTAGCAAGTCATTTTAATTTGTGGCCTAACTTATACTAATCTAAATTCAACTAATTGATTCTCCTCCACAATTTTTTCTGATCATAAACATTCTCCTCGTCCTCTATGTAGCTACTTAATTATAACTTTATTGTTGTGTTTTTTATTCGCGTTGCTCATTTAGAGAGAGATATTGTGATTCTCCATTTAGTCATTTTCTTGGCATTGGAAGACACTGCTGAAGAATGAAAGTAGGAGTTGGAGATGCTGCAACAAAAGAAAATGTGACTATAAATATTGATATAAATTCACTTTATTTGTATATATAAATAATGTAGAACTCGAGTTTATTTTACCCTTTATACATCCTATGATATAAATTGTACTTTCTAATAACTTAAATTTTTATCTTAAAAATATAAAAGAGTTTAATGTCGTTATAAATGTATATTTGCTTTTACATTTAAATAATGTAAAATTCTGGTATATTTTATCTTTATTTTTTTTCTTTTTGATAAAAACATAGATTTGGGTATGTTTTATCTTTACAAATATGAAAATCACGTGATAAATGATATTATGGAGGTCCCAACAAAATGAAATATGACGTCAAATATTAAACAGAGTAATGAGTTTCAAGCTTCATCTTAATTTAAGAGCGAGTCATTTTAATTCATAGCCTAGTTAATGCTAAACTAAATTCAACTAAACAATCGAATTTATTTCATTAATGCAAACTGTTGCACCATGGTCGAGATTTCATACCAGAGTCGTCGAGGGTTCCATAAGTCAGGATTGAGTTTAGTCGTCGAGAGGTATCAGTTTAGTCGTTGAGTTTATTTTATTAATGTGATTTTATTGAAATAATGTGAATAATTACAAGAAAATGATTAGTTGACTAAATGGCATAAGTCGGCTAGTTGATCCTAAAATGCCTCAAACCTTATTAAAATTTCATGTTGCAGGCCTAATCCTTCGCATGCCTAGGCTTTGGCTGGCATGGGCTGTGGGCCTCAAAAATGAGGCCCAGTCCAGATCTTTCTGTCGTGCCGGGTCGGTGTATAACAGTATAAGGTCAGGTCATACCGAATTAACTACTGTAATGGGCTGGACTGGACCGTCTCAATCCAATTGACATTTCTACTCTAGAGTAGTAATTTCTTCCAATTTTTGAGTAGTTGAGTCTCCGCTTTTTTCCTTGGGGGTTGCACTTGCCGCGAGCTATTTATTCAGTTGCTAATAAGGTGTTATTTTCATTTTTCTACTGTTGTATATATATATATATATATGGTTGTTTATTGTTTTTCTACGACAGTATTAAGTACTTATTGTAATTTTCATTTTATTTTCATCAATAAATAGAGTGGAGAACTTGGTGTGAGATAGGTATCTAGCAGGTTGACTAATTAGAATAAAGATATATGCAAAATGTCACGTTGACTAATTAAAAATTATTAATTTGGTGATGGAAGACAGGCTGTGTGAAAAGAATACAGTTTTGGTTTGCCCTCGAATCTTTTCTTCTTTTTTTTTTCCTTTTTGAAATGAAAAATAAATGCAACTAATTCTTGCCTACCAATGAGATTTCTGGTTTGACCAAAAATTCAAGAATGAGAAAGAAATATGCCGAGGTGGCCACTCGCGCGTCAGTTAATTCCCAGCCAAGTGCGTCAACCAGCGTGCGTCAGCGAGCCACAGCAGCATATCTGCTGTAGAGTTCGCGCCCCATATCTCCCACGTGCACCTGCCTGCCTAGTCCTCTCCCAGATCGCCACGTCTCCAAGCTATTACTGCATCCAATCGACAACCGCCATGTGTCACCTGTGAGTCAGGGCGCTTTTTGGGTTGTTTCCTTGTGTTGCTTGCGTGTGATTCTAGAGGCAATTTTTTTGAGGGATTCTAGAGGCCTTTTTTTTTTTTTTTTTTTTTAACTGACAAAAAAAAAACTTTTTTCTAGAGGCTTCAAAAATTTTTGAAGCTTCTGAAAGCCAGCGAGAGCCGCAATTTTGAAAGGGGCTCGACTGTTGAAGGTTGAGTTATGGATTTGTTCTCTTTTAAATTAAGATTTTGTGTTAAAAAATAAATTAATATGAGAAAAAATATTATAATAAAAAAAATTAAATTTAAATTTTTATTAAAATTTTTTTTGACTTAGTGAAATAAATGGGGCCATAACTTAACCTTCCATAGTGATTTATTTGCAGAGTTATCATCAAATGAAAAAATAAAGAATTGATCTTTAAAGAGTGTATGAGTCTCGATATTTACCCTTTATTCTTAATAAATATCCTTTTGTTAGTGTAATTATTTGATTAAAAAGATTATGAATCAAGAGTAAAGGGTAAAAATCTTAACTCATGCACTTTCAATGAGTATTTGTTAAGATTATCCTTATCAAATTGTTCAAAAACAATTTTGCCCCTGTTTGGTTCGCTACTTAGAATTTTATTGATTTGAACGGAAAAGTTCAAATTGTATGGTTTAAATTGTAGTTTGAATTGATATTTTGATGTGCAGTTAAAATTTTAATTTGAACAGGGAATAAAATTTGAATTTGTATTTTGGTAGGTGTGAAAGTAGAGAGAGTGGGCACCTTTTTACTGTTCAAAAATAATTTAAACGTCTGAACTTGGGGGGGGGGGGGGGGGGGGGGGGAGTTTTAACTTAGTTTAAACAGCGAATGTAATTCAAACTACATGTTTACCAAATATTAATTCAAACTTTATTCACTGTTCAAACCGAGTTAAACTAAATTAAACTGGTAAAACAAACAAGGCTTTATTTTTCACGCAGATAGTACTACTACATTTTATCTTAGCAAG